AAAAAATTAGCCGGGCATGGTAGCGCGCGCCTGTAGTTCCGGCTACTTGGAAGACTGAGGCAGAAGGACTGCCGGAGCCCAGCAGGTCGAGGCTGCGGTGGCTGGGAGCGGCCACTGCACTCCAGTCTGCGCCGACAGAGTGAGACTCCAACTCAAAAAAAAAAAAAAAATGTGTAACATTTATAATATGAATGCTTCTGTTTCATGTTAAAATTTTCAATTCAATATTATTTTACAATATTCACTGGGCACACATATCTACAGATGCATACATACATGGAAAGATGCCAAAGATGTATTGTTAAATATTTTTTTAAAAGCATGATAGAGAATGTAGAATATAAACCTTTTCCTGTTTGAAAAAACATGGAAGGGAGTAAGGAATACAACAGATGTACACACAGATAAATAAACTAGGGTTAAAGGGAAGGAAAGAAGATTTACTGAAACTTATCCCTTTCTGTATATTGTTAAAAATAATTTTTACCATTTTTTATATATTATATATTTTATGCAGTAGTACACATTATATATGAAATCTATATTTCATTATTTTGAATTTATTATGTTTTACTTTCATAATATTTAAGAATATTTCTAAAAGGTTAATCATAAATGATTTTAAAAATTAGTATTAGTTGAATTTAAGTAAAATCTTCATGTTTACTCTCTCACATTCTTTATAAAACTAAATAAACACTATAGGACTTAATTCCTCTAATCTGAGTCAAAAATTAGAAGGTTAATAAGTAATTGAACTCTTCGGCATCTAGATAATAAAGTTTTTCTAGCCAACATCTCCCCTGATGAACAATTCAAAGCAAATGACACGCAAAAAAGTTCCAATTTGTAATCAAAGTTTGGAACTCAGACGATATCCAACTTGGTCTACCCCAATCCCAATGTATAAAATGTTAGTTCAAATTATAATACTATAAGAAAATGATTGGCAGTAGTGGGAAACTGTTATGGGGGGGTGGGATTGGCAGTTGAGGGAAACTGTTAGGGGAGAGAGGGGCATACCTTGTCAACAAGGGTACCTGCATAATCAATGTTTGTACACCTAACCCTGAATTGTACCCCACATCTTTATAATTTAAAAAAAAAAGTTCATTCCTACCTTGATTTGACAATCTCTTTCTCATATATATCTTCAATAACCTGTTATCAAAAATATAAAAACGTTTAGTATCTCAAACAACTTTTTTTTAGACCCTAAACTATGGTTTTTAATTAATAAGATTATATAAAATAAGTTGGTTTAGGAAAGCTATCAAAAATTACTGCTGTTGAAATAACATTCAAGAGATTTTTAAAATAATCCTGCTATAGTTCTTTTTTCTTTTTTTTGAGTTGGAGTCTCAAGACCCAGACTGGAGTGCAGTGGCTGCTCCCAGCCACCGCAGCCTCGACCTGCTGGGC